ATTAATACTTCTTGTTATTTGTCATAAACAATGAAAAGACTAATAGCTGCTGTACGGCCGAACGGACGGGAGTGTACGGTACGAGCAGTATACACACACACACACACACACATGTGTATATATATGTATATATATATATATAAACACATAATAACACTTTGATTTTGTTGTAACATTCTGATGAACTGTATGTGCTTTGATTACTTGTTTACATATATCTGTGTAATGAAACAAAGGTAACTATAGCATAAATTTCTTGTTATAGGCACAGAAGAAGTGCTGAGTAGAATGTCATTCAAACAATATATATGCTTTTGGTGCTTTGCTCTCTCTCTCAAACAGAATACATATATATATATCCACACACATATATATATATGAACTAATGTATGGATTTTGCTCAGGTACATAACAAACCATGGACATTTAGCATGTTAAAATTTGTACAAAAAAATTAAAAGCTGTAACAGGAAATAAAACATATTCAGTTCACTCTCCCACCTAAAACTGGAAATTTGTATTATAGCTTAAACGAGTAGAATATCGAAACACAATGACAACTTAAACATGTATACAGACAACAAATTAGCTGTGAACATTGATACTATTATTTTTAAGTGCACTATGAAACATCATTTCTATCATAACTGCAATATTCATTGTTTTATAATGACTTCATTTTTATCAGTGGTTACAATGTATATTTTATAGTACTTGAAAAAATTTAGGAGTAAAGAAACATTAAGTTTGTCTATATTTAATAGGTTGAAAGATAGAGAACATTTTAAGAAAACTGATTTTTTTTGTCATTTCGTCAAATATGAAGTTTCTTGAAACAAACATCTTTTGTTATTGATTTGGTTCAGTCATATTCACTAACAAAACACGTCCATGCCATCTAGTGAGTTGTAAAGCAAGCAAATTAAATAATTACAATAACAAGATTATCATGTAATATCTGCTATCTAGTGACAATTTGTAAAATTACATTTACAATGTTAACAGTTCATAATATGATTGGTATTACATATTACTTCCATGATGTCTATCAAATTTATAATGACTATTGACAGTTATATATCTATAATGATAGACCATTATCAGATTTATGATTATACTAAAAAAAACTTACATAAATGTTAGTTCATTTGCCAATAAAGCATTGTATTCCAAAAATTATGATTATCAAAACAAGATAGTTGGCAAAATGAAATATAAAAATTTGGATATATATATTAGATATATTATACTAGAATTGTAGATTTATTCACAGTGAAACTGTATGCCAAATATTATGACTGTATGTCAAATCATTTAGAAATGACAATGGAAGTACAATCATGATTTTTACAAACTTTGGAGGCTTTCAGGGCATTTGAGTTGTAACTATGTTTATGAAAAAATTATCTTATTTTAAACATTTAATGCTCTATCAAAACATATATGATATATTACATATGATACTTAATACCATTCATAAAAAATGTTTAGTTAAAGTAAACTTTCATATAATTAAGCACAGTCATAACCTTTATCAGTCTGTGGACAGTAGGCACTGCTTGTCAAACAACAGAAACAAACTAAGTCTTAAGCAAGTCAAAATTTATACAGTAGGTAACACTGGCCTAGACTTGACTTTATTAAGATTAGAAATTGAGACTTTGGTTATGCAGGCAACCATTTACAGTATTACACATTTATTCCTATATAAATTATACAAAAAATGCTGTGGCAATGTAATCAAGGCCCCGTGTATTGTATGGTCCTGATGTCATTCATTTTTTATTAAGATACTTGGGGGACAACAGAAATTACTGAGGTTAATTATAATATTAATGTTAGTTTTGTTTTAAATTTTCTTGTGTGACTTGTATGTTATTATGGACCTTGTAAACAAGTCATGAATCCAGAAACAAAAAGATGTTTAAAGAAAACAGTAATGTGATACTGGAAGTGTTTTAGATAGCAGGGGGAAACAAGATCCCTAGTTCATCACATCAGTAATGCACTCTAGAAAAGGAAAACCATGATAAAAGTTTTGTTTACAAAGCTCAAACTTTTACAGTAACTCTTTATTTTATGATTGTCTCATATACAAATTATTAGTTTCATTTAATATTTTCTTTCTATTTGTTGTAGTATTAATACTTCTTATGTTATTTGCATAAACATGAAAAGCTAATGCTCTAAATATCAAAGAAATATTGGGTGGAAAGTTATCAGTAAACAGTATTTAACATTTTATGTACCAAATAACTTTTCAATGAATATCTTTTAAAAATTTAAAAATTTTCTGAAAAGAAATTTACTGTTAAATATTCTAATTACAATTACACTCTGCTAGCCCTATAAAAATGTAATTTAAGGGAAATCAGAAGTTCCATTTTGAAAGAAGAGACAACAGACTAACAGAAATATCTATGAAGTTAGTGTTCTAACGTATACAAATTTGAAATCTTATCTCAGTACAATATAGCTGTTTTGACTTTGAAATGGAGAATACAAGCATTCAAACTTAATTGCAAATAATTTTTAAATGCTTAAAGCTCTATAATAACTATTCAAATATATATATATATATACATATTGTTTACTTACATGAACCAGCATAAAATGACTTTAAAATCTTACTTGTGTTTTGTATTCTGTCATCTGGAGAATACACACAATCTTTTATCAGGAAAATGATCTTGTGATAATGGTATACTAATTTAGAAATATGGAAAAGTTTTATGATCAGCTGTATACATTTAATCTTAGCAAGTGTTCAGAAACAAAACCTGGTTGTAGGTATATTTGGATTCTCTTATCTAAACATCAGCTAGTTGATACAAGTTTATAAGTATGGTTGGCTTCTTTCAGTTGCTGTTGCGGATATACTAGTTTACTTTCCACCTGTAATTCTCTACTGGATTTTCTGCAAGCATCCATCCAGACCGAGAGACAAGGTATCCCCGTTTATGTGATATTGTTACAGTTGTATAAACTTCTGAAGCTAAATAAAGAAAACAAATAAAATTTGTGTACAATATTTTTATTCACATATATTTATTTTCTTTCATTGCAAAATATTGTTTGTAGCTATGTAGCTTTTGTTATTTAAAGTCAGAATGTTAAGGAAGCTGTCTTCCACACTTAAATATATACAAAGTTTGTACAGATAATATTTTTTAACACCTATCTGGGAAGATGAGAGCCTTCATTACCTAATCTGAGAAAGTACATTTCATATTACAAAAGAAATATTAATGTTTTTGTCAGTTACAAGCCAAACAATGCCACTGTTTTTAGAAATATAATTTTTTAGTTGTAACATTTTTTGTGATTTTAAAGAACCGTTAATTAAAGCATGTTAGTTTTCAAAAATTACATGTTTACTTGATAATGTTAGGTTATATTCATAATTTTCAAGTCTTTAAGCACATAAGATATTTGGGTAACTAGATTCAACTTTAAAGCACTATATTTTAGAATCTGAAGGTCCAGTCAATGTGCAACTGACCTTGATTTTTTTGTAAGGAGAATTCTGTAAACATCGCAGGAGACTACATCTCTATTGTGTAATCTTATTTCAGTTTTGTAATAATTAATTTCTGTATATGTTGATGAGCATCATATTAACTTTATGCGTGGCCCAGTGCTTGCTATGCTTCATTTATCTGTGTGTTAGTAGAAACTGTGCTTGAGTGATCTCTGTTGAGTTTTGAAACATAACTGAGACAAAGTGGCTTAGTGGCAAAACAGTGAGATAAGTAAAGGCTAGTAATTAAGTAATAGATTGTTTGTTAATAGGAACATTTTTTCATCTTTAGGCTATTTGTGCAACATTAATGTTGTTAGTTCCTGGCCTCATTCTGATTGACCATGGTCACTTTCAGTATCCTTTTTTTAAAGATTAAACATGGTAGGATCCAAGTTATATTAAACTTTAATATCAAAATTTCTGATGATCATTTCTTTCAAATTAAACTAAAACTGCTGGTTAGGATTAAAGACAGCAGTACATACAATGAGGTTAAATATTAACTTCAGGCTTATTACTTTGTATCATGCTTAGATAGTTCACAAGCTAATTAAGTTACTTCATCTGGATTAACAAAATTATCAGATTTTGCTAGTTTATAATCTCAGTTTTTAACTCCAGAAACAAATAATTTACCAAAAAATGTGAATTATAACATTCCAGATTTAGAATTAGTTATGTGAATTGTATCTTTTGTATGCTTATGTAAATTAATAACATAATCTAGTTTTGGGTATATTTAATATTTAGAAACACCAGAACTTAAGAATTAATTATTCTAATTCTGTTGCTTATAAGCTAATTCAATTCCTTTTTTCAAATATTTATTTTCTTTGACATGGTATTTAGATATAACTGTGTTAGCTTAGGACTGACACTTTGGGCCATTTTATTTTTGTCCCAAGGATACGATCTTTTAGGTGCTGCTTTCTTTGTCTTTGCCTTAAATTACAAACATATGGAGCTTTACCATGCTCTTCCTTTTTTTTGTTACCTGCTAGGAACCTGTAATCGAAAAAAGTTTCTAGAGGGGTGAGTATTTTTTTTCTTGATAAAACGTAAAAACAGTTATGACTACTGCATTTAAAATATTTCGTTAAAAGTCAGTTGAAAATGGGCAGACTTATCAAAAATACAAAAATTCTTTCCTGGTTGAGTTACTCTCACATTGTCAACAAACATATGACTAAGATTCTGAATATTCTTTACACAGTGCAGAACATTAATCAACTGACATATAATTTATTGTGTTCGTGTCAGGTGGATTTATATAACCCTTGCTTTATCACCATAATCCAGATTTTCTTGTTGACAGTCATGCTGTTAACTTTGCTACAATGAATGTGGAAGGCAACGTTAACTCTGTTGTAAATACTTCCAACAACATTGGAACTTTTACAACCTATTTGGAGGATTTACTCTTGCATTCGAATGATGAATGTATTCTGGCTGTTAATGTCAAATTGTTTGCTAGTGTCTCATTTTTACGATCATATGGACACTCATGATCTTGAACTAAATCAACTTTTGCTCAAGCCCATATACATACACACTGTCTGCTAGCCCTAATCTTAAAGATGTTTCTGCTGCTTTAGTTCCATTTTCTCTCAAGTATTTTCTGTTTTACATTTTGAACCAATTTCTGTTACACCTGAGTGTGATAATGTTATGTTAACTCTTTCAACCCGGGCTTGGTCCCTGGGACTGAACTCGTAACCATTTTGTGCTTGTTGTAGTTTTTATGCTATAACTTTTAAATTAGTAAGCAAATGTTAATGAAATCTGGCAGTTTATCAGTAAAGATTACAATGCTTTCATTTGCAAAATATCTAATTTTATTAAGTCTTAAGGTTTGTAAAGCAATGTTTCTTTTTTCTTTTTTTTTTCACATCTTGCCTATCTATCATGTAAAGTAAATTTCATTTTAACATTAAAAATACTTTTATGCATCAGAATATTTTTAAATTTCATATGTGAAATCTTTATAATGTCCAGATAGTTATTAAACATTTCTTAAGAAAAAACTTTATATTTTATCTGTTATTTTCAGTAATTAATCTCTGTATGGGTTTGGTAAATTTGGCCGATCTCACAACCACCACAAGAAATTAGGAAATAAACATAAATTATGCATCTTTCATTCTAGAATGACAACAAATTATAACACGAAAACATAAACGTTTAGATTAAATGCTTAAATTTCATAACATTGTACATTTATATATATTTATTACTTTATTATATTGACCATTCAGCCATGCCCAGCTAACAATATAGAAGTCACAATAACTTGGCTCACATGCACTCATGTTACCATATCAAATAACATAAAACTGACTTTTGTCTTGGCTGTGTTTTAGTAGACTAGTATTTTGTAAAATACAGTCACATTTCAATTATTATACATTATATATGTATATAGATTATTGCCATTTTGAAACAAGTTCTTAAAGTTATTTTTCCTAAAACATAGAACAGTAAATAAAGAAGTAAAGCAAACAATTATCTCTTCTAGTTATGATATTTGTACTCGGTTGCTGCTTGATGTAGGTTGCTAAGCCTTTAAACATTTTGCATATGGAGGATATGAAACAAAATATTTTTTTTAGGTTTTATATATACTTTTGAATAACTAAAAATCATAAATTATTACATAAATACAATAGAATTGTACTATAATTAATCAAACTTAGTAACTAAGCTGTATTTGGGTCTAAAAAAATATGAAATTTCAAGCAGACTAAAGATACAACCTACCTCATTGAAATCTTGGTTTAAAAGAAAGAAATGGTGCTAGTGTCATTAGAAAGGCTGAGAAACCACTAGGGGACATTCTGAGCTTCCGATTGGTTATTCATGTCATATGTAGAAGTGAGTATATATAAGGGAGCATTTTCAAAAATGGAAGGAGATGAGCGAGGTACCACTATGTTTGATTTATTACGTGAGCAATATCTTAGAAAAAAATAGAAAAGATAAGACTTTCTTATTTTGTATTCTAGCTTGTCAATATTTGTAATTTGAGTTTCTAATTCTTATGAAACTCTACTGATCTCCAGTTCTAAATCCAAGTTCTCTGGCAATGGATGCTCTGTGTCAATCTTGGGAGAACCTCTGCTTTTATGAATACCCTCCACTTTGCATTCTTTCCAAGATCAGTTGTTTAAAATGTCACTGCTCCAACTGAGCCTGCTTAACCATAGTTTCCTCTATTATGTCAACTTTCTCACAAAGAACCGTGGGATTATCGTGTATGACCATCTTAAAATGACATTGAACATCTATTTCATAACTGGTTGTGTTTCAGTCTTTCTTTGAGAAAGTTCTCTTGAATTTCTTAGGACCTTGCTCCTGTACTCTAACAAATTATCTTTGTTTATTGGAGTGTTTTCATACATCTTTAAGTGAACTAGTAACAAAAATTTAATTCTCAAATTGTTGGGATTTAGGGATGGGAAAATATCAGAAACTAGAGAGTATTTGGAATGGGAGGGAAATCTGCATTACCCATTTCTTCATTCCACCACTCGTACATTACACTCACAGGGTGGGTGCATACATATATGTTTGGTGGTTGAATGCAGGAATGGGTAGTGCAGATTTTCCTCCCATCCCAAATGCTCTCTAGTTACTGATCTTTTTCCATCCATATATCCCAACAATTTAACAATAAAATTTTTTGTAACTAGTTTCTGCATTTTTTACAAGTCAAAGTCTTGGCTTCCAGTTGGGCTGTAACTTCTAGGTGAAAGGCACCATTTCATCAGTTTATTCTGTTCTATTCTATAGGGAGCCATAATATAATTTATAGACATTACTTTTTGAAGCAAGATAAGTTATGACCAGGATACTGCACAGTTCAGTAAGGAGTATACAGTAGATTATCTACTTCCATATAATGCACATAGTGGCTTGCTGATCAGAGACCATGGTTAGTGCTTTGGGCTGTATCTAACCTATCATGGATCACTTGCTGCTCTAGGTATGAAAAGGAATATCCTAAGCAGTAGTGAAGTGTTTTGGTGTGCAGGATAGTTGTTGGCACACTGTGGTTTATGAGTTAGAGCTAACAGAGATGAATGGAAAAGATCATTGTTTTTGCAGCCAAAGCAGTTTTGTACTTGATTAGTGAAGGGCTTTTATTCTCTATCCCTTTGGCTGGATTTTGCTGACGTCCTGGCTATTGTACCAAATGTACAGGCTGTCATTTTTTTAACCAGACCCATCCCTACATAGGGATTGCTGTTGCGCTCCCGATTTTGAGTTACATCTCATCAAAATTCACCATTTGGCTATGATTTTAACATCCCAATTGCAGTACCCTTTTGTGGATGCTCTAGATTCCAGAATGTAAAAAAAAAAATTGAATATGCTCTTAAAATTTTCTTTACATCTTTTTTGCCTTTGGTTGTGGTTCTTGAAACTAAGTGGAATCCTTAGCAGGTGAGTTATTCTCTGTTCCAGAACCCACATTCCTAATGAGAATGATAAACTAGATATTGTTACTAAGCCCAACATTCCTTAAGAGGCATCTGGCTCCTGAAATCATTTTATATATGAAAATTAAATAAAATTTTAAACAAGGTTTCTATATTATATGAGACTGTGTTTGAATGGATTCGTCCAGTCAGTACTCGTATATTACATCTACATCTGTGATTTTCCTAGTCAAAATTCAAACCTCAACACTAGTGCTACATGAAAAGGTGGTGCCCTCTGGAAGTGGACAGAAAATACCATCTGGTAGCTGTTTCGGCAGGTACCTTCCCACTTCTGTGTGCATGTCTTCATGTAGCAGTTGAGAGAACAGAGGTGAGAGGATAATTCTCCATGTGATGTCTTGTAGCTCTATCAAGATAGGAAACACCTTACTGCTTTATATTTGTCTTTTTTAACTTATTTAGTGTTCCCATTGCACTGTCCTCAAGTTTTACAGCCCATCTTTGGGTGTGCTTGGGTCTTCATGTAGCAGTTGAGAGAACAGAGGTGAGAGGATAATTCTCCATGTGATGTCTTGTAGCTCTATCAAGATAGGAAACACCTTACTGCTTTATATTTGTCTTTTTTAACTTATTTAGTGTTCCCATTGCACTGTCCTCAAGTTTTACAGCCCATCTTTGCTGGTTCTTTTGGATTCTCCTCAAATACTCGCTGACTGGATAGGTTTTGTACTTGGCCATTCTTATTGGGTGTGGTTCTGGATTATTTTCATCTCTTCTGATGATCCAATGGTACTTTTGGTTCTTTCCAGTCCTCCCCTTCATCTCAGTATGGATAGTCTGGCTTTTTATATTTCAGTAGGAAGTTTGGCTATTTTGAATTATATATTTTTATAATTAAAATTAATTTTAAAAAGGTACTTACTCTGAAATACATTCCTACCTACCACCCTACAACTGAGATATGTAATGTCCATCACGACTTCAACTACAAAATCTGGATTATGGCAGAGAAGCAGAGCTTCTGTACTTACTTCTGAAACCAGTACAATAAGTCACATGGAAGGTGGCTGAATAGAGAACTGTGAGTAAATTGGCACATGCTCTATATTGTATCAAGGTCATTTGGGATTTTAGTCTCTGGTTTGTTGATAGCAGCTCATCAACGAAAAGCTTTTCATACTTCACAGGTGTGAAATTCTCTATTAATTCTAAAAAATAAAATTAAAAATATTGATCTCATCAATTGTTTCTGTCTGAGATTAAACATTTAATTGTATAGTGTTGCATTTACTATGTCTGTTGTTACCAAAGTAAGATATGTATAATTGTGATTAATGACTGAACTTTTAAGTAAAATTTATATTTTTTATATTTGAAAATAGAGCTATATTAACTTTTTTAATGTTGTACAAATCTCATGTGCTGTTAATCACAACAACTAGATGACCTTAAAAGTTAGGAGACAAGTTGTCATGTGTCTGTAAAATTAGTGAAAAAAAAAGAAGGTTCATAATTTGCATTTTAGTATATTTGATGAATGTAGGTTTGGTTTTAAGGGATGAGACCAAGGTCACCTTTTCTTTTCAAAGCTTATCATTTGAAAGTGTCGTAGATGTTAAACTTTTAAGTTATTTTATTGGTCAGCAAGTGATGAATGTGTTTCGTAGAATTCATTAAATATTTGTATTTTTGGTTCTACTTTAAACAATGTCTTAGATACTAAAATAAACTTTTTCACAGCATTTTGAAAGTTCTTTTACTGGGAGCTGTGGTTATTGGCACTACTGCACTCTGTTGGGCACCATTTCTAACAAAACTTGACACATCTCTTCAAGTCCTTAGAAGGCTTTTCCCATTTGACAGAGGCCTTTATGAGGTAGTTATAACTTGTATGTACATTCACTTCATATGATTACAAACTTTAACAACTTTCCATGTCATGCATGAAATTGTTAAACAACATTTTAGAAAGCTTTGTTTTTACTTGTACATATAGATGAGTTGTGATCACCCATGTCAAAGTGAACATCTGTATGAATTTTCACTGTTAAGGAACAAAATGAGATATTGAAATGAACAAGTTTTATTACAGTATTATTGTGTTCATAACATATCCTTTATTATAATTTGTATGGCTCTTTCAACTATAAGGTGTACAGTCAGTATAAATATTGTAAGCATTTTTGGTATTGAAATATTTTAACAAAATAGATAAAGAAGCTATTCAAAAATTCAAGAGGAAATTATTCTCTTGCAGGGTATGTGGTAAACAGTTGCAAGCCTTAAATAAGACCCTGTGGAGTATATTGTGTACACAGATTGATATATTTAACATCAGCTTTACCAAAAATATTTACTATTATGCTTTTAAGTTTTATTCAATTTAATATTGCATTTTTACTTGCAGGACAAGGTAGCAAACTTTTGGTGTGCTCTTTCAGTAGCTGTGAAGTTGAAATCAAGGTTTTCAATTCCAAGTCTAGCCTACATCAGGCAGGTTTTAATTATTGTTTACTAACTTAATGCTAAATATGTTGTTGTATACATTTTTTTAATAAGGTTTTATTGTAGTTTAGGATGAATTTTTAGTCATGGTTCATAGGCTCTAAGTGTTTTTTTTTTGTTCTTCAAATACAAACTTTTAACTCATAGCTCTGTCATATTTTGACTAATTTGAGAACTGACTACAGTTTTGGACTCAAGAGGTCAAACCCTTTCATTAATATATTTCACCATGCCCAATGTCACTTAGATTAATTTATTGTAATCCTGCCTAGAAGAATCTCAATATGAGGGTAGGCTGGTAGAGATCATGATGACTAATAAAATCAAATTGGGTTTACGCACACCCCATGCTTGGTATTGCTGGTGCTAATAGAAAAAAGGAAAAAGATCTCTTACATTAAATTACTCTAATCCTGCCTAAAAGAATTTCAAGTGCCATGGCTATTGAGTATACCATTCTGTTACTTTTGATTTTATAAATCTCAGAATTTTGAATTTGTTAAGATTATCTTAGTTAACATTTTCGTATAGTAATGTTTTTTGATTGAAGTGCTCCATTAGAGAAAAAAATTTCAAATTTTTATTATACTTTATAAACATGTTATTTTGGTAGTGCATATATGATTGGTTTCTTTTAGAATATTATCACGTTATAGTAAGGTGCGTTGATGAATCTCTTCTACCTAATTTGTTTGAAACAACTGCAGGGATGGCTTCTTCTAGAAAATTGAAAATGAGTAGCATTCCCCAAATGCAACCTTTAAACAATTTCCCCAACTGAACCTTGAAGTTATTGTTTACTGGTATTGTTCAGGCCTACACAGTTTTTTCCTCTCTCTGAGTGAAAATGTTGCGCATAATATACATTCTTAATATTAGGTGAATTGGCTAGACAAAGCTTAGTGGCTAGAATACTCAGTCTATGCATCCAAGGATTCATGAATTATGACCTGTTGCTGCAAAAATGCACTATAGATTTCTGGATAATGGGTGTGTTTATAAGACTGATGGCAAATCACACTATCCAAATATCTATGAATAGCCCAAGATTTAGAGATGAGTGCTGTTGACTAGCTGCTTTACCTCAACAAACCTTATCAGTTCACAATTAAGGATGGCAATTTGCAGGTAGTCTGTTTTTGAATAATTCTTTTAATATTATTGGTGTAGTGCAAATTGACAGATATTTCAGTAATATGTTGTATAAGACACACACACTTTCGGTAATTTAAACCTAAGAGGCACCTTATGTGACACATGAGATAAAAGTTCAGAATTGCCAACTATTATATCAAACTGTTGACAAGTCAGCAGCATTTGCAGTCTATATGGCTACTTTTAACTGAATAACAAGATTGTCACAAATATGTACCATGAGTTCACAGCTGAAGTAATTGAACTGATATTAGTTTTAAACTATTAAACAGTTTCTTATTTATATGAAGATTCAACACTTCAATGATCATAATTAAGATAACATCTTAGCATCTCTACAATATTCTAGTTTCAGCTAAGTTAAAAAAATTTAACAAAGAAAAGTCAAGTAAAACATACAACGAAATTACAATTATTAATTAGGTAATATTTTTATAAGTCATTATGGATATCAGTCATTAACTCTGTTAAATTGGATGGTGTACAAGCCACACATGTGCTGTATCTGTCACCCTAAAATGATGATCAGAGGGTCTCAGAACAATATTAATTCATTCTTATCAATCTGTCCACCATACCATTAATTCATTTACAAAGAAACTGGCATCTGTGAGGGTCATTGTTAATCAAAGAAGGTATTTCCTGAGCACCAATTTGATTTTAAGCTACATGATTGATCCTGCTGTTGAAAAAATTAATATAACATCTTAAATTATATACTTTTCCTTTATTTTCTGATTTTAAGAAATACAAAACTATAAAATAAAATTACCATGCAATGTTATTTGATGCAGTAAAGAATTTTAATACAAGTATTATATACACCTGGAAAAAGTTAAGCACCCCCGTGTTTTTTTCAAGTGATTCAGATTCGACGTTCTTGTGACTGATTATAAATTACCATTCAATCTAAACGTGTTTATCAAATGAAATTATGCATTATTGGGCACAAGAAACCAAGATTTTCACGCTTAAAATTATCTTTAATAAGTATTGTCAGTGAA